AATCCCAATCTTCAGACAGAGGAAAGGAATCCCCACCACAAGATAAGCATTTCACCGGGCCCAGCAAGTATCAGATCAAACACACCAAGCACTCCAGTTTTATTTCCATTTAGTCAGCCATTTTCCATGGGGACACCTTATTCCTACTCAATCCAATGTGATCCTAATGATGATAGTTATGAAGATAGCTTCAAAAGATCAACTTATCCAGCTCCTTCGCAGTGGCGTTTGCTAAAGATGAATGCACCTGAGTGGGGAAGAGTAGTGTTTGGATGCTTGGGTGCAATAGGCTCAGGAGCTGTCCAGCCAGTAAATGCATTTTTTGTGGGAACACTTATCTCTGTCTACTTTGACACTGAAACCTCAAAAATAAAGTTCAAAACTAGAGTCTTGGCACTTACTTTCCTGGGAATTGGCGTTTTTAACTTCATTACAAGTATTATTCAACACTACAATTTTGCAGTTATGGGAGAAAGACTGACTAAAAGAATACGAGAAAGATTGCTTGGAAAATTGTTGACTTTTGAGATTGGGTGGTTTGATGATGAAGAGAACACAAGTGCAGCCATTTGTGCAAGATTAGCCTCTGAAGCTAGCATGGTTCGCTCCCTTGTTGGAGATCGTTTGTCATTACTGTCTCAAGCAATTTTTGGATCTATCTTCGCTTATGGTCTTGCATTGGTGCTTACATGGAGATTATCCCTCGTGATGATTGCTGTACAGCCATTAGTCGTTGGGAGCTTTTATTCAAGAAGTGTCTTGATGAAGTCTATGGCAGAAAAAGCCCGAAAAGCTCAAAAGGAAGGAAGCCAACTTGCAAGTGAAGCTGTAATAAACCATAGAACCATAACAGCCTTCAGTTCTCAGAAAAGGATTTTGGCCCTTTTCGAATCTACATTGGTAGGTCCTCAAAAGGAGAGCGTTAGGCAATCATGGATTTCGGGCTTTGGTCTTTTTAGCTCACAATTTTTCACCACTACTGCAGCAGCTTTAGCTTACTGGTATGGCGGGAGGCTTTTGATTGAGGGGCTCATAGAACCAAAGCATCTTTTCCAAGCATTTTTCATCTTGCTCTTCACCGCATATATCATTGCAGAAGCAGGAAGCATGACTTCTGACTTATCTAAAGGAAGCAATGCAGTTCGATCAGTGTTTAGAATCTTGGACAGAAGAAGCGACATTGATCCTGAGACCACACGGGCAGTAGACATAAATAAGAAATTAAGAGGTCGAGTGGAACTTAAAAGTGTTTTCTTTGCATATCCAACCAGACCTGAGCAGATGATTTTCAAGGGTCTGTGTCTTAAAGTTGAGGCAGGGAGAACAGTAGCACTAGTGGGACAAAGTGGTTCCGGTAAATCAACCGTTATTGGCCTCATTGAAAGGTTTTACGAACCATTGAAGGGAACAGTGTGCATAGACGAACAAGACATTAAGTCCTACAACTTGAGAGTTCTAAGGTCACGTATTGCCCTTGTAAGTCAGGAGCCAACCCTTTTTGCTGGAACCATTAGAGAAAACATTGCCTACGGGAAAGAAAAGGCAACTGAAGCTGAGATAAAGAAGGCTGCAACTCTAGCTAATGCCCATGAATTTATAAGGTATGAGAACTACAATAGGAATAAAATTCTCCTCTTATTTGATATTTCATGGGAAAAAGGGCTTGTTTTCCAAATTTTAATGAAGCATCAAGAGAGAAAATTCCCACTTCTACTGCATTTCTCGTAAAAGGGAAACCAAGAGAGTTAGTGCAGCTGACTTAGGTGGGTGCTATCAAGGCCTCACCTCTTTCTAGGCTTCATGTAGTACTGCATATGATCAATTCCAATTAAGTTTTAGTTGTTTTTTCTCCTAGCCTAAATCTTAGCCTTTGTTTCTTATCTAGTGGTTATTTTCTTGTCAGTGGCATGAACGATGGGTACGACACTCATTGTGGAGAAAGAGGGGTTCAACTGTCAGGAGGCCAAAAACAAAGGATAGCCATAGCACGTGCAATATTGAAGAATCCTGCAATTTTGCTGCTAGATGAGGCTACCAGTGCACTTGATAGTGTGTCAGAGAACTTGGTTCAAGAAGCACTAGAGAAGATGATGGTTGGCAGAACATGCATAATTGTGGCTCACAGGCTATCTACTATACAGAAATCAAACTCCATTGCTGTGATTAAGGATGGGAAAGTTGTGGAACAAGGTTCACATAATGAACTCATTTCTCTAGGGCAAGATGGAGCATACTACTCTCTTGTTAAACTTCAAAACGGTAGATCTTTTTGAAGGTAAATCAAAAGAAGCTGCAACATAAGATAGGCTTTTCCCTTTTTCACTTTTGAATTTTAGAGACAAGATCGTAACAGGTTAATCAGGAATAACAACATATATTTCCTAGATTTGGGTGATCCCTTTGTACCCAAATATGAGTTTAGAGAAGTGTCAAAGTTGTAGTTATGTATTGTGAGAGAAGTGGCTTGTTTGAGGATTGTGGTGTGTGAAGTAGTAGGACCTTTGACGTATAAATAGGTCTTGTATTGATTGCATGATGAAAATGGAAAAGCAATTTCTAGTGCCTCTCTGTAATCTTGCATCACAAATCATGAGGTTTCAGTTCCTCGACCACCATATGAGAACTGCCACTTAGTTGATAGATTAATATTTGAATCCTAGATCTGACTCAATAGAAATTGCCTAGAGACACTTCCATAAACAAGCGGCCAAAAAGCTTAAACAAACAACGTTTTGAATACATTTGATAACCTGTTTGAAGCTTTTGGCTAGAACGCCAAGCATGTCAGAAAATGCATCTCATTGCAAGGGAGAAAAAGATGCTTCCAGCCAGCCAAAAGGCGTCCTCAAAACAGGAAAAAAGAAAATACAAGCACCGAACCAAATCCTTTCAAAATCTCATATAATTCTTAAACAGTTTCAAAACGTATCCAAAAAAAAAAAAAAACAAAAACAAAAACAAATATAACTCTTGACCTCTATCTGTATCTTACCATACTTTTCCACGTTTTCCTCCAATCTCCTGCCTGTAACTTATACATAAGCTAGCCCATTGGTGATAATTTTTATTGGTAGATGTTACTTGCAGTATGCTAAAGGGCTAGAATAACTCACCTGTTTGGTAAATATTTCTAGTGCAAAAACACTGACAAATCATGGAGATTAGATGCATTTGGTTTTTTGGCCAAAAGTTCATTTACAAAAAGTTCATATGACAAAAATTAATTTAATGAAAGTCAGTTGTTATAATAAAATTTATGTTTGAATATATTTTTTTAAAAGTCAATTTGATAAACTAAAAGTTACTTAAATTATATGCTTTTGAATGTATAATTACCAAAAAAATATTAATTTATAATGATTTATAATTTTTGTTATACAAGTATAATATATTTGAAATGTTTATAAGATGTGATAAAGATTTTAAATGACATAAAATTTGATCTGTATTGCTAAAAACTTAATCTCTAATTATTTGTACTTTTTAATTTATAATTTTAAAAAATGTGATAAATATTTTTAATTTTTATTATATTTTAATGTTAAAAATTAACATGATTAATTATTCAATTTATAATGTTAAAAAATTAATATCTAATTATTATTATTTAAATAATAAATATATTTTTTCATGAATTAACTATTTTTTAAATAAAAAAAATAAGAGATTAAACTTGAAATAATATAGTTAAATAATATCTCACTTTTTAAACTCACTTTTCAAAAGCTCAATTATTTCAAATGTGTGTTTGGTTTTTGGTTTGCCAAAGTTCATTTAGTGAAAGTTTATTTATTCAAAGTTAATTTAGTGAAAGTTAGTTATTGTAATAAAATTTATATTTGGACACATTTTTTTAAATGGCAAAAGTTAGTTTAGTGAAAGTTGGTTGTTATAATAAAATTTATATTCGAATATATTTTTTAAAAGTCAGTTTAATAGATTAAAAGTTATTTGAATTTTGATAGAGAGATGTACTTTTTTATATATAACTATTAAAAAGAACATTGATTTATCATAATTTATAATTTTTGTTATATAGATGTAATATATTAAAAATGTTTATAAAATTGTGATAGAATAAAATGTATTTAACAAATTTTTAATTTTACCTCTATTAATATTCATATTTTAAAAAAAAATAAAATATCCTATTGTTTAATAACTTTCTCAACATTTAATAAGATAAAAGGGTAAAGATGGATATAATAAATTAATAATTATTAAAATGCCATATAAATATAACCAAAATAAATACTATCTATTTTATAAATAAGACCAAAGTCTTATAAATAAGTTAGAAAGGACTTTTGAAAAATTTTTAAATTGCATGCTCCAAAATCTACTTCCAAGTCAATTACCAAAGTCTTAATGTCAATTTACACATATTATAATTACCCAAATGACATTTGACATTTAAAAAATTGAAAAGGGCTTTTGACAAGTGGGAAGTAACAAATCCAAATGCATGGCTAAAAGTACATTCAATTACATTGGTAATAACTTTTTAAATGGACTTTGTAAAAAAAATTAAAAACCAAACAACATCTACATCCAAAATCTATTTCAAGAGTCTTTTAATAAACTGAATTGAAAACCAAATGAATAATAGATTTAGTAAAAATGACTAGTTCTCACGATATAATAAAATAAAGTTTGAATTCTTACTGTATACTCAATTTATTATCTTTATCAATCTAAATAATAAAAGTATTCCAGGCAAGCTGCTCTATACAAATGGCTCCAGACAGTAAACTCTATTCATCAGCTCTATGAACAGTACCCGGCTTTATCTACAGTAACGGCTTCACGCCATCAACACACGGCTCAAGGGGAGGTTTAATTAATGAAAATTTTGCTGCCAGACTTCCATCTGTCTTCCGCAAGACGCTCATCATTGTATGTCGGGTAATGACTTCCATTCAAGACAGCTGGAGCTGTACCTCTCTTCAAAGCTCGGTGCTTCAATCTCTCATTCTCTGGACCTCTCTTCAAAGCTGTACCTCTCTTCAAAGCTCAGCTGCTCTATCTCTGGATGCATCAAGTGTTCTTCTGGCGGTGCATACATCAAGTGTTCTTCTGCTTCTGAGCAACTGGTGAGTCATGCATTCTTTTATTTCTCTTCCTGTAATTGTCTCTCTTCGAAGCTCGGTCCCTCAATCTCTCATTCTCTCAACTGCTCTATCTCTGGAAACCTTAGTTGTTCAATCGCCCAAACTCTCAATCTCTCAGGCAGTGCATGCATCGAGTGTTCATCGATGCAGAAATGGAGGACCATCGAGTGTTCATTGACCAACCTCCGGGAACTTTATGTTGGATACTTCAACACTTACACGCGCGGCATACCGCCTAAGATTGGAAACTTGTCGCAACTCGTCAGATTTGACGCTGTGAACTACAGATTGACTGGCGAGATACCATCGAAACTCGGCAAACTTCAGAACCTCGATACTCTGTTTCTTCAAGTGAATGGACTTTCAGGTTCAATAACATGCTTACGGGTCAGATTCCGGAGAGATTTGCTAAAGTAAGAGCCTCTAGATTTTGGAATTCTATCCAGCAAAACAATTCCAGTTTTTAGCATCCTTGAGGTAAAATTCCTGTCTTATTCTATTTGCTCAAGCATTTTAACTTAAGCCAGCACTTTATCCTATGTAATTTATTCCATTAAATGTCCTATTTATCCCATTAAGTGTTCTTTTGCTTCTGACCAATCTTAGGTGCGATAGTTTAGGATAATGAAAATGTCTATTTTTGAGATAGATGTATTATGTCAGATTCACATGTGTATTCCCCTTTAGTGAAGGATCACCTATTCCCCTTTAGTGAAGGATCCTTTTAGGCTCTTGCCAACTTGGATGCTGCAGACTAGCCATTCGCGTGCTTTTATTGGCTTGCTCATTAGTTTTTGTTTAATCAGAGAGGGCTGGATGATGAAGATTCGTTTATGTGTTCGAACTATCCTATCTCATCCTCTTTAAACAAAAGTCTTACTGCCTACGTACAATTGCCTTATCATCTATAACCATCTATATTTATCCAACATTCACTAACAACCACCGTTCAATCTTAAGTCAGTATGCTTAAAAGTATCTGAATCACTATACTGAAGCAATGTTAAGAGTGTGAATCTTAGGTACAATATACCGACTAAATCCATGATCTTATACTGTCACAGTAAATTCTTGGATTATAAAGCTTGACATTTTTCATCTGTTGCACAGTAGTATCTTCCTTTTGTTTCCTAAAAAACTTTTATTGTGTCTGTTACTTCCACTGATATTTTTTTTAGGATGAAGACATGGAAGGACACCTTGAGCATTGTGCATGGAAGTCCGCATCCAGTTATCATGGTTTCTTTTCTTTACTTAGGACTAGAGTAGCTACTATGTTGCTGTTGCACTTTTAATATTTTTGGCCAACAACTGTAATATGTTTGGTGTATCAATTGTATTTATTTTCATATTCGATATCACTCAAGAGTTTCCTTATTTTTCCAGTATCAAATTTATAGAATAATTAGATATATGCAAACATTAAAAAGTTAAGAGTTTAGAGTTTGTTAAATTATTTGAGTTCTCTTGCTTGAATATAATCTACTAAAGGGATACTCCAACTTTATTTTGAAATAATTCATCCTACTGCCAACTTAGAAAGTTGCAGCAATTTAAAGGGCAGATCATTTTAAGAGTACCCTTTTAGTTTTCTATCACCTACTATAATAGGACGAACTCTGGACAAAATCATGTTTGCAGCCATAACAACTCAATGCATTGATAAATTTTTTTATTCTTTTTTTTTTTTTTACTTTTCCAAATATGATGAGGCATGGCTATTAGTTCTAAGTCTGTTATATCTAGATCTTGCTTACTTTTAATATGATGAGGTATGGTTTCTTGCTTTGTAAATCATGATAAAATAGTTGATTGTTGATTTTTGTAAATCATGATGTGGAGTTCCTTATTATATTAGTACGTTTCAACCATGTTCATGAAACCGTCATTTTATGAGTCACTTTTCCAAACATTGTGAAATATGTTTTGACTGATGGATAACAATGTGCAAAATAAGGTGAGGATACATGAAAAGGCAATCTATTAATAAAAGTTTCTTTGTTTATTAAGTATGATTGGACGTGTTTCTTGCAAGAGTAGGTATTGTAGGACACATAGAGCATTGTGCGATGTACTCTTCATGTTACATCCTGTCTTCTTTGTTTCCCGATATCATAAGGCTATTGCCTACTTAAGACACTTAAACCAGTCCTTATTAGCTGTTTACTCCTTGCATGGGATAGTCTTTTACTTGTCACTCATAAGCTGTACCTTCTGTAAAGCATTAAATTCCACTGTACGCACATATAGCTCACATCTTCACGTGAGAACTTGCTGTAGGTGGCTTCTTTTTTGGTTCCCGCCAATCTGAATTCATGTAGTGTCTAATGTGAACTTGCTATTGTGTCCTCCTACATGCCTCTATTTATTCCCCCTAACTGATTTCATTTTGTATCACCATCCCATACTTTCAAACCAAAAAGTATTTGCTTCTGCACTGTCCAACCACCTCCTCTTCGGCTGCTGGAATGGCACCAAGAAAAGGCCATTTGATCAGAGAACTTCATGCTTCCAAGGAGACGTGGACCATTGTTGTAAGGGTTGTAAGGAAATGGAATGTTACTCCTAAAAACAAGCCTTTAGAGGTATTTTGTATCAACATGATTCTCATTGATGAAGAGGTATTACATTTTCTAACTATTTTCAAAATTTCTACATTAGTAGATCATATCCCTTGGCTTAGTTACATGTGTTGTTCAACATATCATACTTATCTAATTTTCTCCGTTTGTTAGGGTGAGAGGATACAAGCAAGTGTTACACAAAAGCCTCTTCTTGAACGTTTCAGAGATAGGGCTGTTGAGGGAAGTACTGTATTCATAGCCAATTTCAATGTAGTAGAGAATAACCAGTACAAAGCAACAAATCACACTTACAAGATCATTTTTAATGCAAACACTTTCATAGATGAAGAGAAAGCAAACATACCATGGAACTCTTTCTCTTTTATGCCTATTAGTGTTTGCCTTGAGCAAGAGATTGCACCTGAATACTTGATTGGTAATTTGTTCAAACAATATCTTCAAGGAATTTGTTTTTAAAAATGACATGAGATGTGTGCCCACGAGTTATCTTCTTTACAACCTTCATTTCTGTAATATTCCTTTAAATATGACATTACTTTCTCCTCCATACTTCTCTGCCTTTATACAGATGTTATTGGAGTGTTAAAGTCCATAGGAAAGCTTGAAGAGTACAGGACCGAAAATGGATTCCAAAACAAGCTGACTTTAACATTGGCAGATCAAAAGTAAGAATATTTTTTTAATGGGTGCATGTCTTTTATTCTGCATGACCTAAGAAGCTGTTCCTAACTTATTTCTTTTGCAGTGGCACAAGTATTGTATGTGTGCTTCTTGGAGAGTGTGCCTCAAATACCTATTATAGCTATCTTGACAATGAAAGGTTTCCATTAGTGTTTGTCATTCAACTGTGCCGACTTACTATAGACAACAGTAAGAAATTTTCAACACACTCTTACCTTTGCCTTTTTGACATGAGAAACTAATTTATTTTTTCCTGTGCAGAGGAGGTCCAGATTGGTTCATCCTTCAATGCAACAAAAGTGTGGATGAATCCAAATATTAAGGAAGTTTCAGATTTGATCGACAGGTTTAGCAAAAAGTGACCAGTAGCATGAAATTTATTACAAGCACCATTTCTTTAACCCTTTATCCGTTTATCAACATGTCAGTTACATTACAGTGTTTGCATCAACTCTTTTTTGTTTTCCAGTGCCAAGGAAAGCTCATCTCCAAACAACTCTTGCTTCAGCCAAGTTATACCAATTCAAACTACACAACTCTCTGCAGACTCTATGTTGAGATCCACTAAGAAGATTATGATTTCTGACATCGACACAATGAAAGTGGTGACCTCATAAACCTATGTGAATGGTCATGGATAAAGTTTCATTTTTAATGACATGTTACCTTTTTTTTATTATTATTAGGGTGATCCATTTATTATAGAGTGTGTAATAGAGAAATTAGAGACTAATCCAGGCTGGACATATGAGGGTTGTATCAGATGTGGAACCAAACATAGGCCTAATTCAAAAGGAATTATGGTTTGCCCTTCATGCCCCAATGATATGACTCAAACTGAATTTAAGTAAATTTGCTAACTTTTCCTACTTTCTTTTCATTTGTGGTTTACATTTAACTCTATTCTCATTACATATGGTTGGAAATCTATTTAATTAGGCTCAAAGCACACTATAACGTGTCTGATGAATCTGGAAATACCTCTGTTGTCTTTTTTGACAAGCATGCGTATGAGTTCACTCTAAAAACTGCTTCTGAGATAAAAGAGCAGCTGCATAAAGTAATCTCTTAGCACTCATCTCTCTATCTTTTCCAAAATTTAACCACATATTGTCTAACTTATCCTTGAATGCTAGGAAAATCGTTCATATGCCTTCCCAGATGAGCTTGAAGATGTGGTAGGGAGAAAAATGCTGCTCAAGCTAAAGCGTACAAGCTACAATCTTGAACATCCTAACTCTAGCATTGGTGTGGTTCAATACACAGCATGTCAAGACCTTCTTGAGCAATTTAAAGAGGCTTCAGTAGAGGTGAAACAATTGATAGCTATTATGGTTTAAAAGTTTATTCAATAACTGACATGTTGTGCTAAATTATTTTGTATTTTGTTTGGTTTTTTAAAAAATTTTACATTCTAGGAGGGTACCAATTCAGGTCTGGCTATTATGGTCTTAGAGGGTACTATAGTTAAAGAGGGAGTGAATGAGGTATAATGAAATGCAATTTTATATTTTATATTAGTTATGGTCTATGAAAAGTTTTTTTTATGCAATGAATGATTTAGGAGTGCCTTTGTGTGTGTTTGATTATTGCAGGTGGTTCCAACAGCCTCAGACTTTAAGAATAGTCATGAAGAAACAACTATGGGTTCATCTCTTTCCAAAGTTGAACCAATAATGTCTCAGGACATTGGGCTTGATGAAATGACTATATCTCAGCTGTATCCTCCTCCATTGCCAAGAGGAAAGAGGAAGCAATATTTGAAAAAGAGTGCAGAAGTCCAGCAAATTAATCCCCAACCTCAACCATCTACTTATGCCATGCCTAACACCAAGCCTGTCAAGATAATTAAACAAGAAAAACCTTGAGCTTTTAAGAGCTTGAACTGAAGCATTAATGTCCTTTTTGTTGTTTCTATGTTTTTTTTAACTATTGTTGTGCTTAGTGTTCACTTATCATCTTGCCTTTCCAGATATTAGAATTAAAACAGTTATTATGTTGCTGTTTAAGTTTTATTTCTTTTAGCCAGGAACTCTAATATGTAATGAATTATTAATTACTAATGGCATTTATTTTAAGGTCTGTCAATGCTCTAGGAGCTCATTATTTTTCCTCTACCAATTTTCCATATTTTCCAGGAATGCAGTGCTGAAAATAGGACAACTTGATGACTTCCTTTTAAATTTGTGTTGCGTGACTGATCATTTTAGCCCCTAAATGAATATTTCAGTAAACAATAAATAATGTAGATGTATTATACTGTCACAGTAAATGTTGGTTTCCCTCACTTGGTCTTTCTATCTCTATCTTTATAAAGGGCAAATTCACAGCTTCTAGACTTCTATAGGTGTGTGTTACACTGTCATAATGTTGCAACAAAATCAAAATTCTCGTCAGTTAAGATGACAACAACATTCCAACCAAAAACATGGCCTTTTGGTATTTTATTTATGAATTAATTATGTATTTTATTTCCTTTTGGTATTATCTAAAATGCAGCTTAAAAGATAATAAAATTCACACCATTATAGAATATGTGCATGAAATATGAGTGACCACTTTAAATTCAAAAAATTAGTTATGATGCTTTAAACGTTAATTAAATTTTTACAGTGCATGATACCTACACGTATATTCTCATCCTCCATTTAGACCAAATTAAATCTGGAAAACGCTAATTGATACTGCAATCTTCATAACACTATGACAGATTTGAACAAATTATAAAGTATGAAGAGATATTCTTTTGAACAGATTGGAAGGTATGAAATTATGTCATATAGAATTAATATAGCAATAACTTAAAAAAAAATTCTTCCAAGCCAAATCAAGATGGGAAGTAATTAGAAACAGATCTATAATTAAAGTAAATAAATAAACTGATACAATTCTAATTTAAAGTAGAAACAACCTGACAGTAAATAATTAAGTAAGTCACCAAAAAAAATCGATTTGATGAAAAAATATTGACTCACCCATTAGTGCAAATATTTGAGAAACACATGACGGCAACTC